TGTGGGTGCACCGTTCCCCTGTGGTGGGACATTTGGTTGCTGCCAGGATTTCAGTGTTATAAATAGTGCTTCAGTGAACAGTTGTGTGTGTGGAATGTATTCAGTTGCTTCTTGTGAAACCTCAGGCGGGTTCCATCATCCCTGTGTCTCTTTTGCCTTCGTGCTCGATCGGGATAGGGCAGCATCCACCGGAGAGGACAGGTGCATGGACAAATGAGGTAATATGACAAAGCAAATGCTCAGCGAAGTTTGCCTCCTAACCTCTGTTTGGGTGTGTTGCTTGGGGCTTCCTCTCCAGAGATGAGGTTTCATCATTCACTGCTTCCAGAAGTATGTTAGCAGTTTATAAACTCAAAAGCATTATGTGAAAGAACCAATTTCTCTACACCCTCACTAGCAGTCGTCCCAGGGTTTAACTATGTAACTCTCTTCCCTTTAAAATAATAGTGAAAAAAACAGTCTTGTCTGTATTTGAGCAGCTTGTTAGGACAGGATTCACTTGAGCTCACTGCTCTAACCAGTCCCGACCTCATCTCACAAAGGTTGGGTTCCAGAGGCTGTTTGTAACTCTTTTTCCAAAGCTTATAGTTCCCACATGCTTTCTACCAAATTGTAGTGTAAGTTGGTCCTTTGAAGCTTAAAAATCCAGTGTATTTTATTCCTTACTGAAGTACATACTGACTACTGGATATCTTTTTATTTTTCCAAACAGACCAACAGTTTGCTCTAGAAGATCTGCTGTGGCTGGTCATAATTTTGATGATTCCCTTCCCTGCTCCCAAGAAAAGAAATCGGTGAGGGTAACCACATGTCCTGGTTTGCCCAGTTAATACTTGTCCTGATGACTTTGCATTGCCCACTTCACCCTCAAAAGTGACCTAGTTCGGATGATACGTTACATTGTCACCCTCCCCCCAGGGGATTCCTCAGCAGCTGAGCTCAGCAGCCTGCTCTTTCCACCTCACTCCTCCCCCAGACTTCTTTCTATCTGCCCAGCAAAGGCTTCAGCCACATGGCTTTCTCCAAGCTTCCCCAGGGGTTCCTCACGTGTGCCCAGCCTCTTCTGAGTTAACGTTAGCCCAATAGGCATTCACACAAGTTTTCCCATTTCATCACTCTTTTGCCCCCATATCTTGCTGATGGTCGCCAGTGGCATGGGCAGGGTAGGGCACTTTAAGGTTGTTTCAAAAGTTGCTCTTTGTCCTTTGGAATTAGTATTTTGCAGCTCAGTTCATCCCACAGGCCAATGTAAGGTTCCTCATTTCTCACCACTTGCATTTTTTTTTAGCTTTAAACTGAGCGTAGTCTTTTTTCTTCTTAAGCTAAATTTCATACTTTTTTTTCCAGATGCTTTGGCATCATATAGAGGCAGCCTTTTGGTGCTTTTTTTTTTAATTGAAGTATAATTGACTTACAGTATTATATTAGTTGCAGTGTACAACACAGTGATTTTATATTTTTATACATTACAAAATGATCACCATGATAAGTCTAGCTATCATCTGTCACCATACATAGTTATTACAATGTAACTGACTATATTCCCTATGCTGTATATTACATCCCTGTGACATTTCTTTTATAAATGGAAGTTTATACTTCTTACTCTCTCTCACCTATTTCACTCCTCTCTCTCCCCTATCCCCTTTGGCAACCATACGTTTGTTCTCTGTATCTGTGAGTCTGTTTCAGTTTTGTTGTTTGTTTTGTTTTTCAGTTTCCACATATAAGTGAAATCATACAGTATTTGTCTTTCTCTGACTTATTTTGCTTAGCATAGTACCCTATAGGTCAATCCATGTTGTCGCAAATGGCAAGATTTCATTCTTTTTTTATGGCTAATATTCCATTATGTGTGTGTGTATGTGTATATATATATATCCCATCTTCTTTATCCATTCATCCATCAGTGGGCACTTAGGTTGCTTCCATATCTTGGCAGTTGTAAATAATTCTGCAGTGAACATAGGAGTGCATATATCTTTTCAAATTAGTGTTTTGTTTTCTTTGGAAAAATACCCAGAAGTGGGATTCCTGGATCATACAGTAGTTCTATTTTTAATTTTTTGAGGAACCTTCATACTGTTTTCTGTAGTGGCTGTACTAATTTACATTCCTGAATGAGGGTTCCCTTTTTTCCACATCCTTGCCAACACTTGTTACTTGTAGTCTTTTTGATGATAGCCATTCTGACAGGTGTAAGGTGGTATCTCAGTGTGGCTTTATTTTGCATTTGCCTAATGATTAGTGATTTGAGCATCTTTTCAGGTGTTTATTGGCCATCTTTATAAAACTTCTTTGGAAAAATGTCTATTCAGATCTGCTGCCCATTTTTTAATCAGGTTGTTTGGGTTTTTTTGTTGTTGAGTTGTATGAGTTGCATATATCATTTGCAAGTATCTTTTCCCATTAAGTAGACTGCTATTTTGTTGACAGTTTCCTTTGCTGTGCAACAGCTTTTTAGTTTGATGTAGTCCCATTTGTTTATTTTTGCTTTTATGTCCCTTGCCTGAGGAGACAGAGCCCCCCAAAATATTGCTGAGACTGATATTAAAGCTCATATGGACAGAGTTTTATGGTTTCAGGTCTTATTTTTAAGTCTTTAATCCATTTTGAGTTTATTTTTGTATGTGGTGTGAGAAAGAAGTCCAGTGTCATTCTTTTGCATGTAGCTATCCAGTTTTCCAGTACCATTTATTGAAGAGACTGTCTTTTCCCCATGGTATATTCTTGCGTTCTTTGTCATAGATTAATTGAATGTGTAAGTGTGGGTCTATTTCTGCACTCTCTGTTCTGTTCCTTTGATCTATGTGTCTGTTTTTGTGCCAGTGCCATACTGTTTTAATTTCTGTAGCTTTGTAGTGTAATTGGAAATCAGGGAGCGTGATATCTCCAGCTTTGTTCTTCTTTCTCAAGATTGCTTTGGCTTTTTGGGGTCTTTTGTGTTTCCATATAAATTTTAGAATTATTCATTCTAGTTCTGTGAAAAATGCCACTGGTACTTTGATAGGGATTGCACTGAATCTGTAGGTTGCCTTGGGTAGTATCGTCATTTTAACAATATTAACTCTTCCAATCCATGAGCATGGTATATCTTTCCGTTTGTTTGTGTAGTCTTCAGTTTATTTCATCAATGTCTTATAGTTTTCTGAGTACAAGTCCTTTACCTCCTTGGTTAGATTTATTCCTAGGTATTTTATTCTTTTTGATGGAAGTGTAAATGGGATTGTTTTCTTAATTTATCTTTCTGATATTTCATTGTTAGTGTATAGAAATGCAACAGATTTCTGTATATTAATTTTGTATCCTTCAACTTAATTCATTTGTTCTAATAGCTTTTTGGTGGCAACTTTAAGATTTTCTATGTGTAGTATCATGTCATCTGCAAACACTGACAGTTTTCCTTCTTCCTTTCCAATTTGGATTCCCTTTACCTCTTTTTCTTCTCTGATTGCTGTGGCTAGGACTTCCAATGCCAGGTTGAATCAAACTGGCGACTGTGGGCATCCTTGTCTTATTCCTGATCTTAGAGGAAATGCTTTCAGCTTTTCACCATTGAATATGATGTTGGCTGTGTGTTTATCATATATGTCCTTTATTATGTTCAGTGTGTTTCCTCTATACCTACTTGGTTGAGAGTTTTGATCATAAATGGATGTTGAATTTTGTCAAAAACTTTTTCTGCATCAGTTGAGATGATCATATGATTTTTATTTTTCAATTTGTTAATCCGGTGTATCACATTGATTAATTTGCAGATATTGAACCATTGTTGCATCCCTAGGATAAATCCCACTTGATCATGGTGTGTGATCCTTTTAATACATTGTTAAATTTGATTTGGTGATATTTTGTTGACGATTTTTACATCTAAGTTTATCATTAATGTTGGCCTGTAATTTTCTTTTCTCTTGTTTTCTTTCTTTTTGTGGCATGTTTGTCTGGTTTTGGTATCAGGGTGATGCTGCCTGCTTGTTTGGTTTGGCATCAGGGTGATGCTGGATGTTTCCCAATCTTGGAGGAGTGGCCTTATGTAGGAGACGTCCTGTGGGTCCCAGCAGCACTCTTCCTTCTGGTCACCAGGACTATATAGGGGTGCCCCCTGTATGGGCCACATGGGCCCTTCTCTTGTGGTGGGGCTGACTTCTTTGGGCATGCTCATAGGCAGGGCTGGTCCCTGGCCCAGTTAGCTGTCAGGCCCTGCCTGTGTGGTGGCCAGTGGCTTGCTGGTGGTTGGGGCTTGTCCAAGGGTGATTGGCTGTAGGGCCTGGGGCTGGTTCTGACCCAGTAATGAGCAGGCCTTGTGCTAATAGGCTAGAGGGAGGACTCCAAGATGGCACTTGCCAGCACCAGTGTCCTCATGGTAGAATGAGCTCCTCAGAATGGCCACCATCAGCGTCTGTGTCCCCAGGAGTCCCAGTTGCCTCTTGGCTTCTCTAGAAGATCAGCAAGTTCACCACTTGCAATTTTTTAAATTATATCTGCTTTAAAGTTTATCTTAAATGTAAACCTTGCCCTTATCAAATATAATAAGGTTATTTATATTCATAAAGCACCTCAAAAGCCCTCACGCAAACAGCAAGAGGGCCAAGCTGAGTAAGCAGTACCAAGGACACAGCTGTGGTGAGGCACACAGCCCCCATCTCTGTGATTGGTCACAGGCAGAGTTTTGTTCACAAGATGAAAGTTTATAAATACAGAAGCTTCTGCATTGGAAAAACAAACACATATTAACCTCTCAATGGTGACTACCTTTTGTACTTAGGTAACTATATTTTAACTGCTAAAGGGCTTTGTGATTTGAGAGGCTCTCTTTCCCCCCGAACATGTGCCTGCATTTCTGGGGTACTGTGTTCCCAGTTTTAAGGTGAAAAAGCAAGTGTTTTGAATGAGAGATCCTGCCAGGTTGAACTAGTGCAGTGTCAGCTGGGGGACTGTAGTTCACAGGTCAGAATGTGAATTCGCAGTGGAAAATTCGTTTTTCTGTTTGTTTTAACCAGGTGACTTTCGGATGGTGGTTGGAGAGGATAAGGCAAAAGTGTTGAATATTGTGAAGCCCAACATAGCCCATTTTCGTGAGCTCTACGGCAGCATTCTACAGGAGAATCCCCAAGTGGTGTATAAAATCCAGCAAGGCAGCCTGGAGGTAAACTATCTGTGGGAAATCCTGTGGACTTATGTTCTTCCGTATATTTGAAATAAGGCTAAAAGGTACACAAATGACTAGTAAGTGACTAGTAATAAGAGGCTGCCTTTGGAGAAGGGGACCAAGGGCTGACATGAGGCGGGGGGAGGTGGGGACTGGTCCTCACTGTGTGTGTCTTTTTTGCCATTTGAAGTTCTTACTATGTATGTTAATTATTAATCAAAAATGAGTGAAAATAAACTCTGAAATTACCTTCTTTCCATCCCCAAGCCCACCTGCCTCCCCAGAGGTAGCCTTATTAACAGTTTGGCATGTTTTCTTCCAGATCTTGTTGCATGTACTTTTGTATGTATTTGTACATATACACATGTATGAAGCAGTTTGGTCTTTTTTGTTTGGTTTTATTTTACATAAATGTATTCATACAGGTTATTCTGAAGCTTGTTTTTTCCCCACTTGTTATATGTATCATGTCTTGGAACTTTTCTTTGATACATCAAACAAAACTTTCTTTCAAGGCATTCTTCAAAATATTAAATTTTTTGAAAAGAAAAATCAAAGAGCCTTTCCTTTGAGAAAAGTAATTTGGATTTAAGATTTTTTAAACTATAGAATTCATAGTTTTTTATCTTTAAGTTAAGGAATACTATTTTACTTTTTTAATGCTCTTCCTCTTCCACATAATAGGGGCAACTAATATTATGTTGAATGACAAGTTAATGGCATTTCTAGAACTGAAAGGAAACTTTAAAAAAGTAGGAATTATTTTAAATGTAATGTTGGAGGATAACATGAATGCCCAGAATACCCACCACTCAGGTTAACAGATTTTGCCATGTTTGCTTTAGATTGAGGTATTTTGTTTTTAATTTTTACTTTTCTCAAAGTAATGCATACATATTGTTTAAAAACCAGGTGGCACCCCAAGGTTTGTAACAAAAAGCAGCAGTTCCCTGCCGTACACCTTCCTACTTGTCTGTGCTACTTCCCAGAGCAACTGCTTTCGTCTCCTTCACTGATTCTTCTTACGTTTACCTCCATATTTCTAAGTAATATGGTTTGATTGTTATTCTTGATTTTTTTCAACTTGTACTTTATTTTTGTCATCTTTCTATGGAAAATGAGGATTTTTTACTCTCTTATGCACCGCAATCAACACACATACATTCTCTCTCTCTCTTTCTCTCTCTCCTCCTCTCCCCACCCCCCACCCCCACTCCTCCACCGCTTATGCTCCATGTATAGTTATTACATAACTTTGGGTTAGGGTAATAGTCGATATTTACTTTATTGTGACACATAACTTTCTTCATTGCTAAGATATACTACTATGAAATTTCCTTTCCTGTACAACTTTGTTTTTCTTGGAGTTAATCACTGTCTCATTTTTTTCACTTGCTTAGTTTCTACATACCTGTAACTAATTCACCCTCAAATTCTGCTACAGACCTGTAGAACATCTTCCACTGTAGACAAACACATCACGTGTGTTCTCTGTTTCTTACTGTTCTTGGGGACGTTCTTCCTGGAGCCCTGTGTCCCCTGTTCCTTTCGGGTATGGTTCCATTCTAGGCTTGATGCACAGCTCTTCTCCTGAAACTTTCTTTCATTAATACCCGAGAATTTCTTCCCCTCTCCTTTGCAAGTGTTTGGTTTACTGGATCTTTTCCTCTTTCACGGTTTACACTTTAATTTTGATGAAGTATACCTTTTAGTACTTCCTAACGTAGGTTGTGAAGGACGTAAATTTTTTGAGACCATGTACATCTGAAAATTCTACCCTCACACTGATTGATAGTTTGAGCTAGATATCAAATTCTAGGCTGGAAGTAATTTTCCCTCAGAAGTTTTAAGTCATAGCTTCATTTATTCTAGCTTCTAGAGTTGCATTCAGAAGTCCCACACTAGAGACTGTCATACAGAGTGAAGTAAGCCAGAAAGAGAAAAACAAATATCATATATTAACACATGTAGGTGGAACCTAGAAAAATGGTACAGATGAACCAGTTTGCAGGGCAGAAGTTGAGACACAGATGTAGAGAACAAACGTATGGACACCAAGGGGGAAAACCGCGGTGGGGTGGGGATGGTGGTGTGCCGAATTGGGCGATTGGGATTGACGTGTATACACTGATGTGTATAAAATTGATGACTAATAAGAACCTGCAGTATAATAAAACAAAAAAAACCCCCAACTAATACTAAACTTTCTTTGGGTTATTTGTATGGAAATATGTTAATATAAATGTTTCAGACATGACATGAAATTTCTAAAGATCTTATATGTTTTGGTATAATGTTATAAGTCATAATTCTAGTTATTACTTTAAAATGTATATCTCAGAAATAACTAAATTTCCTTGTCAATTGCATTATTATGAACTTTCATCAAATCTTTAACCGTGGTCATTTTTAAGTCTTTTGTCATTTACAGACAGTTCTGGGTGTACTCTGATGCTTTTGCAAAAATGTTCCTATAAATGGGTTTCATCTTGAAGGAATTCATAGAAAAGGCTCTGACAAGTACAGGTTTCTGGTAACTGACTGTACTGCTGAACTGAATGAATAAGCATTTTCAGAGCTCTAATGGAAAACTGATGAATTCATAAAAGTGCTAACAAAAATCAAGAATAAAAAAAATTAATTACATGGGACTGAGTGAACTGATGAGGATGATTATAATTTTTGTGACTTTCTGTTTGAATTAAAAAAATAAAATGTCCAACACTATTCAGATTCCCTATCCTTTGGATGTGACCTTTTTTATCTCTCTGACAGTATTTAGGATCTTTTCCTTTTTTCCAATATTCTTAAATTTCATGATGATTTGCCTTTGTCTTTGTGTGTATGTTTTTCATTTATTTTTAAAATTATTATTAGTTTTATGGCTGCACCATGCAGCTTATGGGATCTTAGTTCCCCACCCAGGGATCAGACCCTTGCCTCCTGCAGTGGAAGCGTGGAGTCCTAATTGGTGGAATGCCAGGGAATTCCCATGTTTTTCATTTATTAGTCTGGCATTTCATGAGCCTCTTTTGGAAATTCACGAGCTTCAGTTCTAGGAAATTTTCTTTTATCATTTCTGTAATGAAATTTTCTTTCATCATTTCTTCATATCCGTTTTCTTAGCTTGTTCTTTCTAGAATTCCTGTTAGTTGGTTGTTGGACCTCCTTGTTCGATTGTTTCTTTCCCTCATTCCTGTTTCTTTGGGTTTTTGTTCTGTTTTCCAGAAGAACTGTTTGAATCAATCTTCTAACACTTCTTTTGAATTTTTAATTTCCTCTGAATGTTCTTTTTTATAGCATCCTGTTCTTGTATGAATGCATTATCTTTCCTCATCTCTTTAATGATCTTTATTAAAATTTTTGAAGTTTTTTCTTGCTCCCTATATTGTCTCTGTTTCTCTTAGTTCCTTTTCTTCTATGGATTCACTCTCATCTGTTGTGTTAGAAGCTTTTCTCAAATGTTTGCACATCCTTTGTGGCCTGTATTTTAAAGAGCAAGGCAGTTTAAAAAATGCAGACTGGGAGTTCTTTGAGATGGATAGAGCATGTCAGCTAGTGAGCTTCACTATAGGATTTGGGACAAGGACCTGGCTGTTTCATTGGAGGACCCCAAGTTTCAGTATTTGTAGAATTTCTCCAAAGAGACATCATCTACTCTCTGGTTAGAGGATAGGGAAAGATAATGTGCCTAGCTGCCAACTTTTAGAAACTGAGCAAGGGAAAACAGCTGGGAATTTCCTTTAACTGTGAAAATAAACTTCCAAATCCCTCAGTTTGGCCTCTGAAAGCCTGGATGGTCTATGTTCTAACTGGCTTCTTATTGTGGGGAAATGCACAAGAATAAGATGAGTGGGCTGAGCTTCAGTTCCCAGAGATGCATCTAATCTTAAAGCTGCCACTGATACCCATCTTCTCCCGCCTCTGCTGCCCATTCCAAATTCCCCTCACCCTTTCTAGCATTTAGGCTGGTCTAGGTGAGGTGGCCCAGACTCTCATCCCTGAGGAGTCTGAGACTCTGGTCACCATGCCCATCTTGGACTGTAGCTACTACACTTTCCATTTACCATCAAAGTTGGGCAAGAGGTAATAAGAGATGTGTACCAGCAGCCCTACCTCCTGATGGTCAGGTTTAATTATTTCTGCCAGTATGGTGATTCATTTCTTTGTCTTCTGGACTTCTTGTCTGCCTGGGATTCTAAAGTGATTGGACGGCAGTTGTAGCTTTAAGTTTGTTTGTTTGTTTTTAATTAGTTATCCATTTTGTACATATTAGTGTATATATGTCAATCCCAATGTCCCAATTCATCACACCACCACCACCCCCTGTGACTTTCCCCTCCTTGGTATCCATACTTTTTGTTCTCTACATCTGTATCTCTATTTCTGCCCTGCAAACCGGTTCATCTGTGCCATTTTTCTAGGTTCCATATATATGCATTAATATACGATATTTCTTTTTCTATTTCTGACTGACTTCACTCTGTATGACAGTCTCTAGGTCCATCCACGTCTCTACAAATGACCCAATTTCATTCCTTTTTATGGCTGAGTAATATTCCATTGTATATATGTACCGCATCTTCTTTATCAATTCGTCTGTTGATGGGCATTTAGGTTGCTTCCATGACCTGGCTATTGTAAATAGTGTTGTAGTGAACATTGAGGTGCATGTGTCTTTTTGAATTACAGTTTTCTCTGGGTATATGCCCAGTAGTGGGATTGCTGGTTCATATGGTAATTCTGTTTTTAGTTTTTTAAGGAACCTCCATACTGTTTTCCATAGTGGCTGTATCAATTGACATTCCCACCAGCAGTGCAAGGGGGTTCCCTTTTCTCCACATCCTCTCCAGCATTGATTGATTGTAGATATTCTGATGATGCCCATTCTAACTGTGTGAGGTGATACCTCATTGCAAAATTGTAGTTTTGATTTGCATTTCTCTAATAATTAGTGATGTTGAGCAGCTTTTCATGTGCTTCTTGGCCATCTGTAT